TAATACTGGACCACCATCCTTAAAAATCTCAGGAGTAAACCTGTCAGGGCCTGCTGCTCTCCCTCGCTTTTTCAACTTCGTAAAGAGACGGAGGACCTACATTAACTTGCCATTCAGGTTGACTAGAGATCGTGGGAAACCGAAGTGTGGCTGAAGGCCAGTTGAACTGATCCCTAAAGTGTTCTGCCCATCGATCCAATCTCCTGCATTGAGAATGTATAATATGTCTATCTTTCTCTGAGATTGTTTCGCTAACGGTCGGGTTCCTAATACCGGTTTCCTTAACAAGTCTGAACAATTGTCTGCTATTACCTATTGCCGCTGCCTTTTCCATCTCTCTTGCTTTCGCTACCCACCACTGTCCACGATCATTGCGTAGACTTCTTGTCAGCTTGCGCTTTAAATAGCTAGACTGTGATGTCTGGAGATGCCTCGGATTCGTATTTGTGTGTAAGACAAGCTATCACTTTGGGCCAAGTCAATGTGTATCTGTTAGCTTACTTGCTCATATGGAGCAGGTTGTATTTGCCGAAGAGCATCTCCGAACATTACCTCGCTTGACTATCTAATGAATTGCAAACTTTCAAACCTTACGAAAGGATAGAAAAACATAGTGGTTACTGATGGTGGTTTTTAAGAGATGACACATGATTCTAACCGCATTTTATAATAAGTCCTGCTGTCTAGTTATATTACAATCCGAATATGTACTAGCTATATGTCTGTTCACATTTATTTAAATTTAGGTATGCCAATACCTGTCGACTGTCTCAATGTTCCTTTTGTATGTAACGAAGATGAATGTGTGTTGAGTGAAAGCAATCTAACTAATAAAGTTGAATATTTCAGTGCTTTTGTAACACCTGAAGATTTAATGCTCGCTTCTATACTGGATGGTTTTCAAAATTAATACAGTTTGTTCAAAGACAACACATGATTTCTTTATATTTAATATGAACCATGCATTTTACTTATTAAAACGTGCGATAACAAACCATTTTCAGGGCGTGTATTAAACAACTAACTCGGTCACGATGGATATCTCTTCGTCTTGATTTGGTGAATTCAACACTTCTGGCTTTCAAGTATTTATAAAGTTGGAAATGTAGTTGGCTTTTCTAAATAGCACCTTAACCAACAGTTTATATCCCATATGTTACTTCCTATGTTTTCCAAAAAATTAATTATACATTTTAAACAGGTTTGGTTTATTTTTGTGAATTTATAATAAAACACTTATTTATATAACTTTGTTTTTATTACTGAAAGTCGAACTTATTTCGTATACGGTATAAATGTCTACAACTATCTAAAAAAGCTGATGAAGACTACACTACGTACACACCGGAAGAGTAAATTTACAAGCGAAGCAATTTAAATTAAATGTATTAACCAGTGATCAATTTAAATGCTTATTATTCATTTCTGATCTGAACTCTCCCATCGACGCTGATTTTCACATGGGTTTGTTATCCCATATGGGACATGATAATGAAATAACACTACAAAATGTTACTGCTCAATGCCAACGATTAATAAACTTGAAACAGGATCCAGCTATGCTGGAAACCAAAAGTGGGGTGCCATCTAATCATTCTGTTCATGTTGTTAAGATAGCTAGAAGACAAAATAGTACCAGGTTATGAATATCACTCGAAAATTCTTAAACTTTCAACTGACTGCTGGTATTGTGGCACATCGCACTTTTCAAAATTTTTCCGGTTTAGAAATCATACATGCACTGTATGCAATAAAGTTTGCCGAATCAGAGGAAGTTTGAGATCAAAGCCAACGAAGCGTCCTCACCACAATATATATGCTACATTAGCTCTAAGCATGGCAGATAAACGACGGCATGTGGAATTAATCGTGTTTACATTCGATTGCAATTGGATACAGCATCAGATATCACATTAATCTCTAAACGGACATGGAATTTAATTGGCTGTCCACAAGTATTGACAACTGAGCACACAGCTCGGAATTCATCTGGAGATGTGTTAATGATTATTGGAACAACAAAATACTCTGTTGAATTCAGAGATAACTACTTCACAGGAAATTGTCATTTAACGAACAGACATCATTTGGGCCTTATTGGTATAAATTGGATAAACAAACTAAATCTATGAGATATACCATTGAGCGAAATATGTACGATGTAAAGCTCAAATAGTCCTAGAGATTTACCCATCGTTCATATAACTAAGCCACAACAATAGGATTCCTTTTGCAGATAAATAAAAACTTGCTCCAGAATAAGTTGGGATGCTGGACAATTCGAAGGCAAAATTATACTTACGACAGGATGTAAAACTTGTTTTTCGTCCAAAACGTCAAGTCCCATATGTAGCTATTGACAAAGAATTAAACCAACTAGAAAAGCTCGCTGTCATACAACCTATTAATTATTTGGCATGGGCAGCACCATTTGTAGTATTTCAGATAGCGAACTGAGCTATTCGCCCTTATGTAGATTTTTCAACAGGATTAAATGATTATTCACAAGATCATTCATATCCACCATCTTTTCCAGAGGATTTATTTGTTAAACTAAACTGTAGTTATTTTGTTAAACTTGGTTTATCTGAAGCCTACTTACAAGTGGAAGTTGACAAGTATTCAAAGGAGTTACTAACGATTAATACCCACCGTGAACTCCATCAGTTTATCCGATTACAGTTTGGCGTAAAGCCAGCTCCAGATAATGGATACTATTATGTCAAACCTCGAAGGTGTAGGAGTTTACTTGAATGATATTATAGTTATTTGTTTTTCTGCTCAGAAACTAATGGGTCGGTTAGACTTTGTGCTCACTAAAATATCACAAGCTGGTTTACAGTTAAAACTAGAAAAGTGAATTCCTGCTCGAGTCTGTTAAACAACTTGGATTGTACTTAATAAAGATGGACGCAGGCCAGATCCAGATAATATGAATGCCATCAAAAACATGCCCAGACTGACTGATGTTGAAACCCTTCGTTCACTTTTGGAGATGATGGGATATATAGTATGTTCGTACCCTATATGTATATATTGCGACACCCATCAAATCAACATGGTACTGGACAAGGGAATGCCGAAATTCTCTCGATGAAATAAACAAATTTCTGTCCTAAACTGTTGCTGACCCACTACAATCCAGAATTTAAAATAATTGTGGCCGCAGACGCTTCCAACTGTAGAGTTAGAGCTGCTATCAGTCATCGTTTTCCTGATGGTAAAGAAAAGCCACTTGCTTATGTATTCCGAACTCTTTACCCAACTGAGCGAAAATATAGTCAGATTAAGAAAGAAGGACTAGCTTTAGTTTTTGCAGTAAAGAAATCTCATAAAATGATTTTTGTTCATCGATTTACCCTTCTAGCGGACCGCAAGCAGCTTTTATCTATATCTGGATCGAAGTATGGTTTTCTTGCATATAGGGCAAATCGATACCGGTCGAACGTCATTGGTTTAGCACAGCACTAAAATTAAATAAGTCATATTTCGATTGGCAAATAAATCAAGTGATAACTAGCCATGCTTAAAGTCCCAATGAGATGTGTGCTGCAACTTTTCTAAAACCCCAAAATGAGTCAAGATCGATGAGGAAAGTTTCATTATAACCAGTAGAAGACTTATTTGTTTTCGTTTGATTGTGTGAAAGCTAGATTGATAGATCTATTACTGAACAGAGACTACTGATTGCAGAAGGCTGTCGTAAAACAAAATTTAAACGATAAATGGTAGTTATTATTATTACCCACATTAATGAGAATAGGTTTACCATGCTGTTACCCAAGTAGTTTACTAGTGAAACGTATGGAAGGCCCTCGGCTGCAAACGATTTCGAGCCATGTCACTCAAAATCTGTAATCAATGGTTATGGTAATCGTGCGGACACCGACCGGGTAGTTAACGGTTGTTAACATGTCTCAGTTTAACTGTCAATGACTTCATAGGTTGATGCCATGTTTTCGTTTGCTCGCACCTAGCTCTGTTCCAATCTACCGCCACATCAGCCAACATTTCACGTCGAAATATGTGCTTGTTTGGTATAAATAACGCATGTCTTAACCATCTCAGTTGATTAAGATTTACTACCGCATCGATCGGTCTGCCATTCTGACCTAATACCTAATTGCCAACCTGGGGATTGCTTACTCAACGACTCCAATGTACACGAGCAATGCTTCAAAGACACATTTGATGGGATATTAGTAACATACGAATGTCCGTTTTTAATAGTCAACTACCTGTCTTTGACTGAAATTTCAGTTTATCTTAATGGCAATATTGGGATAACTTACTCTTAAACCCTGAAATTCATTCATGTTAGCTTACTCTATCCCTTGCTTCAGATCAGCTACATCCTTCAAAGTCTTATTCTCCAATCAAGAAACCAGTCTATTTCATGTCAGTGATATAATAACAGAAGTTTCAGACAACCATGAGCACCAGCATGACCCATGAACAATCCCTGAGTACTTCGACCCACTGCATACACTCAAAGCTTTAAAACTGCTGTGTAAATAAAGATATGGTTTTATAACTCTGGAAGCTCATTGCGTTTAACCAATGAAATATCTAGGAGCCCGTAGTATGGTGAACAGTAATTATTCACTGCAAGCCACTAATCTGTAATATAGGTAGATTTTGTCCAAATACTGCTAACTGCGACTCTATAGATATTCAAGATTTCATACATGACGGATGAATGAAATAAATCCGTCCCTAAAATGGTACACAATGTTCAAACGTTATTCAGTTTTTTGTTTGAAAATATAAATATGGGAACGATGAAACTGAAAATCCGATCTTAAATTGCCCAACTAAAGAATTTAGGACATTTTATTGTCCGACAGTGATCCAGCCCACGGTAACAAATTCATTAATAGAAGTAATCAGAAGAAATCGAGTCAGCTCACATGTTTTCGCCGTCAGGACACATGTAACCTTTATATGTCAAGTATAACCCCAGCTGCCTTGGAGACGTTTGAAGTGATAACTCGTTAGTGTACAACTTAAGACAAATATGAAAAGATTTAAAAATTCATGTTAACATGGGCAAAAAAGTCTAAATTTAAAATAATAACGGAAGTTCCCTCTCTTGAATGTTAAACAGATGAGTCGCAGTAACATGATGCATCTTTTCCCAGAAAATCGAATTTTTTTAGAATGGATACAGAAAGGATTCCTTGACGAATGCGAATCACAGAGAACCCGGTACTTCTAGTATCATATGGTGAAAAATCTACATTAAAAAATCTGGTTAGAAAAATACAGTTTTCAATAAACAATCGAATTTTAAGCGATTACATAATGGTTGTACATAGTGACATATTGAAAACGATCGTTGTTTTATCATGTCACTGTGGTGGTACAGTGTATGTCGGAGGGACTGCAACTCCTGGCTGAGGCCATGGAATCTGTGGTCTGGGTGGAATCATCATGCCCTGTGGAGGAACTAGTGGGTGGGGTGGTCTGAAGCCAGTTGGAACACCAATCATAGGAGGATAACGAGGGGGATAACCAAGCCCAGGAGGTGGTATTCCCGCTGCAGCGCCAAACAGTGGTGGAGGCATTTTACCCTGCTTGTATGCTTCAGCTTGAAAAGTCTATGTTAAGGAAATTGAGGAATGCATTACTTACATGTGTGATCTACTAATCTTTGGACCTGTTCTTCCAGCCATTTTTGATAATATTCCTTTACATTATCCTTGTGATTTCTACCACCACAATGCGTTTTTCTCACGGATGGAGAATCATGAGTTAGGTAGGTATCACAGTAGTCACAATAGTACCTAAACCCTAGGAAATTACTGTTAGGCAGACTTACTTTGGCATAGTTGACCTTGCAAGTATCGATAATGTTCAAAATATGCGCAACAGACGTTAAAATCTGACTGCATGGTTCAGTCTTCAGTAATAAGGATAGTAGGTTAGTGAGCCTGTGTTAATCCTGACAAATTGCCTTCCATTTAAGTTCTAACTTCTCTTTGATAACATGCATTGATTTGGCTGATACCACTTGATCGAGTAAGGCTTTCCGGTCACTGGTTACTCGATGAGATATGCGAGACCTCACTTTAAGTTTATTAGATCGTGGTTTGGGAACCCTTCTGCTATGTGTTCGGAGGTTATTAAGGCTGAAGGGAGCAAAAATATAGGACATAATGACATCCAGATATTAATTAAAGGTACGAAATGCCAGTATAATGTCACCTCGTATCCTACGATGCAACAAAGGGAAAAGATTTAGCCGTTTTAAGCGCTCGTCGTAAGGGAATTTAAAACGATCGTTGACTACTTCCGTTCCCACATGCTGGACACGCTCAAGTGAGTTAGTATCCTTTATCAGATATGAGCTTGCTGCTGGAATATACAATTGCAAACATTTCTTCATCAAAGCGATTCAATACTCGGGAAAGTGACCATAACGCACGAAAACCTTTGACAGCAGCTGAGTTGCAGTGCGTAGTTGTTTTCAAGTCATGACTTATTATTATTCTTAAGTCTTCATGTTACTGAACGCGTAGAAGAGATGTACCATCAATCGTATAGTTATAACTATAACAGTGTCCGATGTGCATGAGCACACTCCTCCTTATAATTAATTTCCAAGCCTCAAACAGCAGCCCATCTAAATAATTCATCTAAGTCAGTTTGGAGATTCGAATGATCAGCCTCACTTCTTATTGTTCTCCAGAGTTTGAAATTCGCAAACGATAATGTCGGCGACTTAATCAAAAGCGGTAATTCATTAACGTAGAGAAGGAAAATTACGGTGTCTAAGATAGTGCCTTGGAGTCCAACACTTTTGACCGGCTTCCATTCAGATAGCATTCTATTGACTCTCACTGTCTGCCTGAGGCCACATAAGAAGTTTCCTATCCACTCCTATACAGCGCCTGTTATTCCGAAGCTGAAGAGCTTTTGCACAAGACCTAAGTGTGAAACCTTGTCAAATGCTTCGCTCCTGTAAAATCCTCTCTCGTAATAAGTTAGTCAAGCATAAACGCTTGTTACGAAGCCCATGCTGCTCAGGAATTAAGAGATTGTGTGAATCTGTGTGACTTAGTAACTTAACCTGGATTATCTTTTCAAGTAATTTGACGACTATGCTAGCTGTAAGGCCGGTAGTTAGATACGATCTGCCTCTGACCATCCTTAAATATAAGACTGACTATAGCATCTTCACAATCTCTAGGGAGTTTGACGAGTGAAAAGAACATGTTGAAGAGTGTCGCAAGCGGTTTTGAAATAATGTCCGCAAGAGATGAACAGCAGTTGTGAATGTAACCCATCAGGGCCCGGTGTCTTACATGGTTTGAGGTTAGTTGTTAGTGGAAGAACAATTTCCTCAGACACATGTTCAGCTCCTATGGCTAGTACCACGGTGTGATTGCGACAAGCATTTTCAACAATACGTGCAGGGTAGACTCCCATAAAATAGTTTGAAAAAGTCTCGGCTTTTGCCCGATCTGATCCAGCTAGTAAATCTGAATTTTCGTATAACAGTAAGATTTGTTCGCCGTTTAACGTAAACAATCGTTTCGGACAAGTACAGCTATCATATGCTAACATGATAGCGTACGTGTAGATCACGAGATAAACGATGATGTTGCGGACCTGAATACGGCATTAGACTTATTCCGTTCGTCTTCGATCGATCCACCGGGATCGACCGGCCAGTCAGTCGGAATAGTAGAGTCTCTGATTGCCGGAATATTAGGTTGCCGGATGTTGGGACGGGGTGGGGCAGCTACGGGTTGTATAAAACGTGCCCTTAACCTAAGGTACAGCACACCGTGATCACTGTTCTTTAGTGGGGGGAGGTGCTGAATGTCGATGACATCCTCACAGTGGTGTATGAGGACTGGTTGTATACGAAAGTGATCCCTAACGTATAGCATTATGCCTCTTTCTTGCAACTTGAAGTCCTGTCTTGGAAGCTAATGCTTCCAAGATCTCAAAACCCCAGTACTCTTAATCGTAAGGTTCGTTTCGCAACCTAGACTTCCATTTCTTGATTCCGTAAGAGCGTTCTTCCACTTGATTCAATCCTCAAGCGGCCAATCCATTCGGATACAAATATTTGAATCACGAGTTTTGTGTGCATTAATCATTAATACGTCGCTTTCTTCAAACTTCTCGAGTACCGACTTCAAGATTTTTCTTGATTGGATCTCGCCTCCAACCCACTTACCGAGTTTTATTACTTTGTGATATGTACCACAGAAGCATCTTCCATGACTTGCACTGTTAAGATAATGAACTATTGGATACTGACCAAAGTAACAAAGAGATTTGAACTGCATAGATTGATTATAAATCTAACACTAAGCTCAAAAATATATATTAAAATTAAAATATCTTCCGATCATTTCGTTCCATTTTGAATATCCTTGAAATTCCGAAAAAATCAATTCCATAGCTGTGAGAAAGTCTCAAATTTTTATCACTCAGTTTTATGGAAAGAATCAGTTTCAGAAGCAAATAAAAGACAATATCCAATAGGAAGCCAGATTTTGCATTTCCGCAATCCAAGCCACTTGAAATATTTATGATGGCTGAAATGAGTATCAAGAACTGTTTGCGAAAGTTTCTTGTGTATTGGTTCATCTTATATTCACTGTAGATTGTGCAAACTACTGTTTAGTTTCTTTTATCTCCCGTTCACGGGATAGAATTTTATGGTTGGTGAAATGTCACTTAATGTTTCTCATGTGATAAATTACGTCTGTGGGAACCGTGCCTATTTTGGTTAACAAATCATATAGATATGTCAAGTTTTTTTCATTAAGTCGATGCGCCTAATTGCTGATAACTCCACTCTTACTGATAGTGAATCACCGAAGATGGATGTAGATAGCGATTTCGAAGTTTGTGCACAGAAAGTTCGCATATACAAAACTTTGTTTCATACACTCGTATCTTTCACAACCTTCATGATTTACATTAGCCATTCAGTCTCCGTCGTAAAACTGGCGCGGATAGCAGTTGATCAATTCCTATGGGCAATGGAGTTTCAAAATCTTCTATGTAAGATATGAAATCCCATTATTCTGCTTCAAATCCAGCTGTTGAAGACTAGTATCCGAGTGATATGTGTGAAGGAAAATCAATTGCTTACAGTGTCAATACCCAAATATGTACTGTTACGACCGAACTGCCAGTATTCAATTTGAACGCAGGACTGACAAACCAAAATATATTCGAATGGACCAAAATACGTTCTTCTGTATTGCCTACCAAGCATTTTTGAGATGCTCGCATTAAATTATATAAAAACACAAAATTTATGCTCAATTTAAACGGTTCTAATTTAGGAAATAGAACAAATTATATCAGAAATACAAAATATTTCAAACGGTTCAGTCTGTGCTATACAGCTAAAAGATCCTCTAACGCAAAGTAGCACGCTAAATAATAAAAGAAACAGTTAATACCAAAGGGTTCGATACCTGAGAATCAATAAAAATATTCCCAACAAAATGGGATCAAATATCTATATGCAGGGTTGCAACAGTCCTTCCAAGCAGACAGTCCAAAAGTTGACAGTCACGCACTGAATAACGCCGTGACCTTGAGCTTAGTCAATAGTCCGGCAAAATGCAATGAACAATTAGGTAACAAGAGATAAGTCACAATCGCATAATGAAAGGTCAAACGAGGAAGACTGAAGAAGAAAAGGCGTGGTTAAACGAGATCTGAACAGAGGTTATGATACACGACAGGGAGAAGAAACAAATAAATGACTGTACTGTCCAACAAAAAGGTTGCGGAGGGATTTTCATCGTTCTCTTTCCGTTACATGTACCTTTTTTTAAAAAAGCGCCTTTCTGTTGATATAACCGATGTCCTCTGTTTACCAAGACGTTTGAAATATGTGTTTGATATCAAAATGGTCGAAACGTGTGAGCTCCTTATTTAATCGGGTGTTTTTCATCCCAACTCACAGAACTTGGAGTTGATAATGGTATTGATTTTCATCTGATGACAAACAACAGTACATTATTCTTCCTAAGTTAACCTGAATTTAGTGCCCGGCTCAAGAACTTTTAAGAACTAATAGACAACGCAAAGAGTTTTGTAAATCACTTTGCGTTGTCGTGCATGAATGTCGCGTTGGTGAGTTGCATATGAAATTGACAGCGAAAAGTGGTGTAGTTAAATTCTACTGATTGTCTAGACGTGAATGACTGACCAGATTAGAGTTTTTCAGCAATCAGCAATTTTTAATCGATTATACAATACAAAGATTATTAAGCGGTATTATGGATCATAAATGTCAAAAAAGCAATAACAATAATGAGCAGTATAAACTCGTCATCTGGTCATTCTTACTAACATTTCACCAACTTCTAATCGCATAACGAGCCGCATTGATTAGTGGCACAATCAGAGTGAATGTTGCTTAAGGACCTCAGTGTGTCTAGCTGACCATTAACTGTCATCGGTATATCATTATTTTCAATAGATATGGATATGTTTGTGTCACTATAGCTTTGGACTTGGAGATCGGGGCCGGTGTATTCACACCCGTCTTAGCTTCCGAGGATGTCGTGTCATACCTGAACCCCACGTCCTTCGAGCCCGCTCTCGCCTGTCCGTCACCACTCGCCCAACAAGGGCATCCTCCAGGCCGCGCCGACAGGCGGCTTCGGAATCGGGTGAAAATTGGTGCTGGTTTCACAGGTCCTTCGGGTCTAGCGCCCGTCGTTGTCGAGCCCCGTGCTCATACAAGGCGGGAAACTCCAAAGCCGGCGAGTAAGAGCGGCCGTACTCGCCGGCCCTTCTCCCCAGGTTGGCCGTCTACTTTATGTGCACGATTACCGCACAAACGCTAGGTTCCTAGTAGACACTGTTGCCCAAGTCTC